ATATATATAGACACTTGTAATACTTATATACATTTTTTCTCTTTCTTTCTCTATATGTTTGTTTGTATTTGTGGTTGAGGGAGATACGTGATGCGTCCTGTGTCGTTACGTCTCGTGCGAACGACACACCACGTAGTCGATCCAAGGCATTATGTATCGCGAACAGGAAGTGGAAGAGATAAGCAGAGTCGTAGTCATTAATAACCTCCCTCTTCCATCCTCTTTCTATACTCGAGTTGTACTTCGTTCTACCTACACTTTTTCTTTTTTTTATTATTTTTTTTCCACCCTTTCTCTTTCCCCTTTTTTCTGTTTTTTTATTTTATTCTTTTTAATTACATTAGTTTTATATTTATAATCATTCATTATTTTAATTTTCATTTAAATTATCGAAATTACAATTTCATTGATTTATCTCTTCTTCCTTTTCATTATTTTTTTTTCTCGATTACAATTTTAAGTCAATACTTTGAATCATTTATTATTCTTACGTGAAAAATTCTTGTAATATAAAATTAATTTTTAACTTTCTTTATTATTTTTTTATATTATTATCTTTTTTTTAGTAATTAATCTTTCAAGTTACTCAATGTCCAACGTTCAGGGATAAAACTTATGGTTTTTTCTCGTAACGCAACAGTAAGTTCTCTTTTTACACTTAATAATGAGCAAATATGACACGATGGTCAATGATTTTACGTCAGAATGAAAAACTGGGAAAGTAATGGGACTATATATGTACATATATATAAAAGTTCGTTTAAAAGGTTTGAGTAATAGAAACGATAAAAACTACGAAGCTTCTCGTAATAATACAATATTTCTATGTGTCCTAAGTTCACACACATGCGCATACTACATGTATGTGCATCTATATAGTATCACAAAAGTAATATAAAAATACGAAAGCTCGTAGGTTCTAAGGAAAAGGTAGATAAGCATTAAAGTAGGGAGGATGATAAAATAAACCATTAACTTACGACGTTCGTTGTGACATTACGAAGAAGGTAATGTAATCTAGCCTAATGTCGTCCAATGAAACGAAACCATATTCCGGCTCATGTATCATGACTAGTATCGCGTGGTTTTACACTATTACGAGAGTCAGTATTCAGGAGGAAAAGAAAAATAAATAAACATGGAAGGAGAGGGAAAAATTACAGAAAAAATTGTCACCAGTTATATACATTTAAATGTATATATTCGATAATTAGTTTTGCAGGAAAGTTGTAATTACATACAGTGGGTGTAAAAAGTATTTGTATACCAATCAATTTAAAATAAAATCTTGTGAAATTGTAGTTTATTAACTAATTTTTTATAAACAATGAATTTGTATATATTTTTGAAAGTTTCTATATATAGATATAATGAAATAAAAGATTATTTTGTATATATAATTATTCAATAAAAATTGAAAAATAAATTTTATTATTTATATTTTAATAAAATTATAATATATATATATATTATAATTGCAATACTATAAACAAAATAATGAAATTAATAATATTAATTATTTAACTTAATTCATTATCATAATTATTATCACACATACATCTACAAATTCTACTAAAAAAAAAAAATAAGATTCATCATTTAAATTACTCGAAATTCGATTGTAAGTAAATATATCGTTCAATAGTTGGATTAAAGGGAACTTGAA